CCCCAATTCAACTTTTTTCAAAAAAAATTTCCCAAAAACACAAATTGTGAACCAAACGGAGCCATGAATTTTATATTTATTAGCACAATCATATTATTGTGCGTTTGGCTCCATATTTTTATCCATATTCCCAATCCTATTCTCCAATAATGTTTGGCACACTATTCCTAAATATTGCCTTATTTTTAATTACTTTAGACCCCATACGGTTATTAATTTCACTAAAGCCCCCTGAATTTTTTTTTTAAATTAACAAACCCCCCTTATCAACCCAACTTCATTCCGGCACCACCCGCCGTGATAGCCGGAATCTGTACAACGGCCTAAATTCTAACCATAAATGGCCGATTCACACGATCTGGCCTTTTCCGCCAGATCCACCACGGATCTGGCCGAAAAAGGCCAGATCTGGCCGCTACGACGGCCAAAGAAATAGCTGTCGTTGACCGAAAATGACGGCCACATCTTTGGTCGTCAGATGGCCATCGTTTTGGCCTTTCCGGCCATCGACGCATAACAGGCCATAGATCTGGCCGAAATGCCATAATGATGCTTACGGCACAGATCTGATCTCTGTGCCGTAACGAAATTTTCCGGCCAGATTCCGTGGTGGCGTGTCGGATCTGACACTGCAAGTGGTGGGATGTTTTTGTCATTTTATATAGTAAGTGTCTTTAATTAAATTAATAAACCTAAGGGTTTTTTCATAAATTTTTTAAATTTACCTCGTAATACTCCCCTATCCAACAACTTATTTTTTTTAGCTATAAGCTTAACTATATAGCTCAAAAAATTATAAACAAACGGTCAGCTTAATTTTAGAGCTTATAAGCAAGTTTGACCAACTTATAGTTTAGATAATACCCCTAAAAATACATTAAATACTCTTAAACAAATTAAGGAGTAAAATGATCGAATTTTGTTGTGTGAGAAATTCAGAGCGGACACAACTCTAGTTAGCATATAGATATCTACAGCATATAGATCTCATAATCAAAGCCAAAGATCACACAACTCCCTGTATAATCAAATTTAAGTTATTAGACCGCAATTATGACTTAGATCACAGATTGTTGGCCATGATCTGCAAATATGGCCAAAAATCTAATCGAATCAGTGTCAATCCAATAGAAGTAAACTGTTTTTCTCTCTATATAATATCAATTGTTGCTATACATAGTTTTTGTTAGCTGGTGGAATTCGGTATAATGCCAACTAAAGGGTGGGTTCAGGGATTTATTGTTTTATTTCATTTACTGTTACTTCAAGTCTTTGTCTCGTTGTAAGAGTCTTCCCTCCTTCCCATTTTAATGTATCTGAACGAGACAGAAGCCTTGTAATAAAGGACCAGGCCTCGTGAGGCCCTATATTACTGGTTGTATGACTTATCCATCTGATGGGCCTGACTGGTTTTCATTGCGGGCGTTTGTTGTTTGATTTGAGCCATCAAAAAGAAACACCTATTATATAAATTTCATTAAATAAAGTTATATGCGCACCATCCTCAAGAATTAATCTTATCTTCTTCTAATCTTTTAAATTTATTCTGACCGAACCAAAATAAAAGATGGTAATCTACAAAACATCAAAACAGTAAGATCAAAAATATCAAATATTAATTTGTTATGTACATTAAGGAAATGAAAGAGTTTTAATATATATATATAGTCATAACTAATATAAGAAAGAAATAAAACATTAGTCCTATTTTAGGCTAGTATCCTCATGATTCTCAATTACTGAACGAAGGGATTGAAGACCATCTGGCTATGACAATGAATCCATCGTACACATATTAAAAGAAAAGCAGGTTCGTGTCAGGTTAATGAATCCATCAGATGGTGGGTTTCCACCAATATTAAATGAAAACTTTCTATAGGATCAGTTAAATACTAATTAATGCCAACTAAAATGGTGGGTTCACGGATTTATTGTTTATTTCATTTATTTTGCTGTTCATTGATTTCAGGCATCTACCAGTCGTTGAATCACTATGATTGTTTGTTGATCATCATAGAATAAGTGTCACAAACGATCGCAGTGAATCGATTGTACACATTGTTAAACAAAAGCAGTTCGTGTCAGGTTAATGAATCCATCACATGGTGGATTTCACCAATATTAAATTGAAAGCTTTTCAAATACATATTAATGCCACAATAAAAGGGTGGGTTCAGGGATTATTGTTTTATTTCATTTACTGTTATTAAATCTTTGTCTCTTAAAAAATCTTATTAGATCATTTTTTATTTTTTATTTTGATAGGAACTTAAACTTAAGAATATATTTATAATCTCCTCTAAAAAATCATTCTTACTATTTTAATTTAACAGGACTCAAACTTGAAATCAATTTTATGACTATATTTAGTATTTTTACTCTTATATCACGTCCCCGAATCAGCTTTTACTTTTTAGAAATATTTTGGTTACTACATCAGGCAACTTTTTAAGTCTTCTTACTACCCATATTAATGTGCAATAAAGTTTCAGTTGTCAGTATTATTGCCCTCGAAAACAACATCTTGTCAGATTAGCTTCTTTTACTGAAGATGTACAGCCTTACAACACATGTCACTTCAGCTGAAATCAGCCGGCTCGAAACTTAAATGCCTTGTTCATCTTTCCTTCTCTTCCACCAAGTCTATAATTTGGCTTAAATCAATATTCACGTGGTGGGTTCCCACCGTAATCAATTCTATATATTCAATTTAAATTTCAAATTAACGGAATTAGTAACGTTGGAACTGAAAAATGGTTATTTATTATTTAACTGAGGCGTAATCTTATAAAACATTCTCCCTTAAAACAATTAATTATTATTTTCCACAAAAGTGTTACAATATTATTTTACGACTTTTTCTATATGAAAATCTACTTTATGCAACACAACGTCCACCTCATAAAACCATTTCATAGATTCTTCAATTATAGTGTTTACTCCTTTTACTTTGATCAGAAATCATGTTTCATAATCATTTTACTATTCGTTGGGGTGAAAATGAAGATTAAGAGCTAAAGCTAAAGCACTTACGGGATTGATAAATGGCTAACCATTGTTTTGTTAATATAATATTCCTTTGGCAACTTTCTCGAAGGTAAAAAAGATTAAAAGATAAAGTTAACCTCTAGTTGAAATTATTAAAGAAAGAGAGGGCAAACAGAATTTAATTAATTTTAGCTCTCTGTCTTAAGAAACTCTGCTTAGTTGTTGACTTCCAATAATAATATATATTTAAAAAAAAAAAATACATTTAATTTAACATAAGTTTTTTTTTTTTTTGGATAAAAGAATTTTATAAAGAAAAAATATACAACCTACCTAACAGGGGATACCTCTTTACATTTAATTTTATCCACAAAACATTCATACATCACAGGATGACATCACCTGGATGAAATCACCTATTCAATAGTTTCAAAATCTAGGTGCATGATTCCACTTAATTCCCAACCTCAATTATTTGTTACTTATTTATTTTTATTCTCGAGACGATTCAGAGCCCCACATACTTTAATGGTGGGACGCCCCATGCATATGATGTGATGTGAGCATCAGAATCGAATTTGAAATTTCTATAGAGAAAATGATTTAATCCACCCTTAATTATTGGTCAATTATAATCTAGGTTTAGCATTTGAATATACAATTAAGCCGGTATAATTTATAAGGAAATTTATTAAATTATCAATATATATTTAATCTTATAATTTTTTTACCAAAACTATCATTTTTTTTTCAAACATTGAACTTAGTACATGTATTATTATTATAAATTAAGATAAAGCTGAAGACGTTAGTTTGTACTAAAGTTGTCACACACCAAAGATATACTAGTTTTGTACTAAAGGTTGTCACAACACAATATACTATTTGTACTAAAGTTTCACACAAAGTGTACTCAAAGGAACAATTACATTGCATAATTTTCTTGCAATACAAGAACATATACCAAATCTCTTAAATAATACGAAGAATATATCAATTTTAAGAGAAAACAAGTAACATTAGATTATAGTTATAAAAGTTTTATAATGAGTCATTTATATATAATTTTGATGTATAAGGAGACTATTAATTTATATATCAAGTGGTACTAATGTGTTTTTTTACGTACTATCTTAGAATACAAGCAAATCATTAATTTATCACATTGATCTCAAGGTAGGATGACCAAAAATATTTTTTAATCAAGGTTAATTGTATTAGATTTATTCTCTTGAATTTAACGAACATTTATAAATGATTACTGAGATCATCTGTACTGTTTATGGACTAAATTACCCTTCATTTTGATATTATTCCAGTTTTTAAAAATTAAAAGTCCAGATTCTGCCCCATTGACTATCTATATCTTAAATTGTTCAACGCAATTTCTATATATGGAGTAACATCAATGTTGAATCTCCATGAAATTTCTCAAAGAAGAGGTGCAGTCAGGATTAACTAATTTGGCTGTTCATCTTCATTTGCATTCATAATTTTGTTAGTCTGGCAATCAAAGCATCGGCAATTTATTGTCCAACGAGTTGTGGTAATGTCAGCGAAATAAGATATCCTTTTGGAATTGGAGAAGGCTGCACTTCAATGAATGGTTTGCAGTAACTTGTGACAACCTTCGGGCTCTCCAGTACCTTTCTCAGTAAAACAAACTGAAATTAGCAGAAGACATCTCTCGTCGAAGCAACGGGATGGCATTGGATTGAGCGCTTATGTGAATATATCGAAGGTTTTAACCTGTCAGGAACGCCGTTTTCCTTTTCACATAAGCTCAATAAGTTCATTTCCAGGGTTGTAATAATTATACCACGACGTTCGAAAGATTCAAATCAAGTCAACAAATGGTGTCTGCCTATTTGTACTTGTGATTGCTAAAAATCATAATTGCTATGATTTCATGTGCACCGTTTCTTCAAGTCGTCATTTTTTTTTCTGATATAAGCGTTCCCAGACTGCAAATCTGCCGTCATGGCTGAGCAAGATTGGCTCAAGAAAAACTACCTAGCCAATACCAATCCCAATTTCTGAATGGAAGGGAACATTTCCTGTAGTGATGGAATTCGGAGATACATGGGGAGTTGTGCGGTACCACATAAATCTAAAAAAATTTGTACATAGATAAGTTTTGTTAACACAATTAAAGTCGGGCTATTTTTGTGTTGTAGTCAGCCAACAGAAAATAATGATAATCAGGCTGCACAGGTACGGATTTAAAACCACGAATTCAAATTAAAGATGTATTAGCCCAAATTTAAAGGTTTCATTTCTCCATTTCTTCCGTAGGTAATTTTGGTGATCTGATTTGATATTTTCTCTCTTATTATCTCTTTTTGTGTAGGTAACTTGTTCTGTAATATCACAAGCCACAACGATTGCTCCACATGTCCTGATGTTATACGCACAATAGTTCTCGTAACGTGATGATGACCCATGTGTGACCACCACAAGCTTCCACTTTGTTGGAAGTCCCGGGATGGAGCCGTAGGTATCATATCCATCAAAATATTGTTAACAAGTGATCAATAACTTGATTATATGCATATACATATATATGTTCTTGTACTTGAGTTGTGCAGGACCTGCAGGTTTAAGTTCTGCGATTTTAAGTTCTGTGATTGGAACGTTGTCCATATCCATTGGAGCCAGCGTTTGTACGAGTTCGTTAAAATGGATAGCAAACAAGCTCAAGCAAAAATTCTTTAAGAAAAATGGGGTTTGTTACTACACCGCAAGTCTTCCAAGGCGGCAACATCAGAACCATAATTCTTTACCGAAATGAATGGAGAAGGCAACTGACAGCACAACGAGAATCGAATCCTTGATCAGGAGGTCGAGGCACTGTGTATAAAGGAATGTTGGAGAAAGGAAGGAAGAATTGTAGCTGTTAAAAGGCTCAAACAAGTGGCTGAAAGAGTTGATGTATTCAATGAGGTGGAAATTTTGTCACAAATTAATCATACGAATGTGGTTCAATTTTTAGGGTGTTGTTTGGACACTGAATTTCCCCTTTTAGCCCATGAATTCATTCCTAATGGAACTCTTTTTCAGTATATACATGGCCAAAATGAGAATGAGGAATTTCCACTCACTTGGGACTTATGCATACGTATTGCCACAGAAGTTGCAAGTGCTCTATCTTATCTACATTCAGCCACTTCTTCTGCACGTATAGATCATCGAGATATTAAGTCATCGGACATACTATTGGATGAAAAATATCAAGCAAAAGTTTCAAACGTTGGGACTTCAAGATCTATTCCAGTTGATGTTTATAGCTTCGGAGTGGTTCTTGCAGAGCTCTTAACTGGACAAGAACCTATTCGTTCAACTAACTCCAAAGAAACAGAAGATTTAGCAGCCTACTTTCTTCCGAAAATGGAACTGGAACGTTTGTTTGGAATCTTTAATGCTCGAGTTTCAAAGGATGAAAAAGAACAAAATATTATGAAGTTAGAGATTGGGAAGTTTGCTGATCTCACAATAAGATGTCTAGACTCAGATGGAAGTAATAGACCTACAATGAGAAAAGTAGCAACAGAATTAGCAGGTATTAGAACATCCAACGAAGCTTCAATCTCGAATCAAAATCCTGAAGAGATTGATCCTGTTGAGATTGAGATAACATCTGAAGTTGAATTTGAAGCCAGTATATCTGTTACTGATGAATCGATTTTGGATAGTATCATTAGCCTTTGTTTTTAAGCAAGTGTGGCAATGTAGTAAAATAATTAATTTTGTTTCTGGTTGTATATATCTTATCCTATGTTGAATGTATTGTGTGCATTAAGTTCTACAGCAAGTGTGGCAATGTAACGAAATAATTAATTTGTTTCTGGTTCTATCTTATCCTATGTTGAATGTATTGTGTTATAAATTCTACTTGTGTCCTCAAAATATCTTTTAGAAAATAGTTTATCATTATGTAATAGTAATCTGATATTTGAACTTTCCAACTTTTGCTGATTCTACAGAAATAACATAGGCATGCGTATATAATTATCACCAGGCCTTTGCTAATATTCAATATAAGGGTACTAAAATTATTTTCAGTGTATGTCAAAAATCATAATACTATATTTATAAAGACTTCAAACTCCAAGTAAATTATTAGAACTGATGCTTTTATAAATGCCATGTCGAGACAGCAGAAATTATTCAAGTCAAATAATGAATCTTTACGCTTCACAGTGTTTTACATGTCAAAACAATGAAGAAACTTCTAACCACTTGTTCCTCCATTGCCGCCCAGTGACGGCTTTCTTGTAGGCTAAATTATGCATTGAAGTAAAAATTCAGTGGGTAACTCCCAGAGTTGCCCTTGTTTACTTATGGAGAGTATTGTAACTGGCAAAGACTTTTTTGAGATGTGTAGTTCTTACTCATTTGTACGTCTAACATTATTGTTGGCATTCGGTATGATACCTCCTTTTTTTTTTCATTTATTATAACTGAATAGGAGTTTTCTGTTTTTTGTGGTTTTATGGGCCGCTGTAATCTCTCTTTTTAGTGTTCATACTGCATAGTTTACCCGAGATTTGTTAGATTTTTGAGATTTTTGTAAGGCCGAACGACTTAGGCATACCTAAGGTTTGTCGAAATGATAAGTTGGTACTCAAAAAATTTTAAAACGACAAACAGGTTCCTTCCGTCATGTGCTGTTAGTAATTTCTGTTTTTTCATAGTGAAAAGACTAAAATGCCCTTAAAAGTTTGATATTTTAGATTTTTATAAATTTAAAAATTTCTTAAAAACCCCCTAGGTTTGCTAATTTAATAAACACCTCCATATATAAAAAATTTGTTAAATGACAAAAACACCCCCACCACCCGCAGATTCCGGCCACCACCACCGGAAACTGGCCAGAAAATTGCGTTACGGCACAGACCTCATCGGATCTGTGCCGTAACGTGTCGATCTGGCCTTTTTCGGCCAGATCCGTGGCTGATCTGGCCAGAAAAGGCCAGATCTAGTGCTAGATCTGGCTGTCGTGTCGCAAAACTCCATCTGCGGCGTCGATAGCCAAATCTGGCCGTAGATCTGGCCGAAAAGCCACGGATCTAGCCGGAAAAGGCCAGATCGATGTGTTACGACATAGATCCGACGGGGTCTGTGTCGTAACGAAATTTCCGGCAAGATTCCGGCACCGATGGCAGGAATCTGGCAACGCAGCTGTGGGGGTGTTTTTGTTATTTAACAAACTTTTTATATATGGGGGTGTTTAGTTAAATTAGCAAACCTAGGGGGTTTTTAAAATTTATAAAAAATTAAAATATCAAACTTTCAAGGGCATTTTAGTCTTTTTACTGTTAACTAACATAAATCACTAACGGCACATGACGGAAGGTACCTATTTATCGATTCAAAACCTTTTAGATAGTAATTTGTCGTTTCGATAAACCTTGAGTATGTGCAAGTTGTTTGACCTTTTTGTAAATATCTAACTCTTCTACACTAGATTACGAGTCCACCTTTGTATCTTTAAACTATATTTAAAAAAAATGAGAGTATAAGTATTTTTACTGATTTGATAGTAAAAGTATTTTTAGCGGGTATCTGAAAGGGGGAGAGTCTCAGAGAGGTTTCTGAGTGGAAGTACTAAGATTTAAGAAAAACTGAAGATGAAGAGATGGTAGAATAAATCAGAACTACAGTAAACATCAATCAATCATATTAACTTTATTGTGAATAATTGATCTGACGGTGGAGACCCACCACGTCAATATCCAATTATCCATGAAAGTAAAATTAAAAGTCTGAATATCTAATTATCCATGAAAGTAAAATTAGGAGACTCTGACAAGACGTCCCTCGGACACACCAAAGCACTCAGAAACGTAAATCCTTTGTAATTTAGAAGACTTTGACAATACGTGGTTATAGTGGATTGTGAAAGCAGATTCTTATAAATTACCCAAAACGTGTTTCATGGTTTGTTCTTTATTCTCCATTATCTCTTCAGTTTCTATTCACGGGACCTGATGACCATTACTGAGAATATTTGGCTGACCGTGGTGACTCACTGTACCAACTGCCAACAAATTTATATTTAGTAAAGTAAGAAAAAGTTTGATAAACCCTTTCATCTCCTATTCTCCTGTACATAAGTTAATGAAATTTCTAAGAAAAGCAAGTAGTGTCTCCGGGAAACTAGAAAACAATTAAGCAAAGCCACTTCTCCAAATACTTTTCTTCCAACAACAAATGACAAAAAAAGTTTCAATCCTTTTCAATTTTGTTAAAGTCTCACACTAAGTAGGTATACTCAAACTTACTGATTTATAAAATGTTATAGTCATCTTATTTAACAAGATTTTATTAGATGAGAAGTGAAAAATCCTCTTATTCAAAGGGAACCCATCACAAATTCTATCAAACTTTATTTAAAAAAAAAAACTTCATACCTTTTTTCCATATCAATCCATTCATACATCACAAGGATGACATCACCTATTCAATAATTTCAAAATCTAAGTGCATGATTCAACTTTAATTCCTAACCGTGAACATTAAAATATATTTTATGTACATTTTATTTTCTGTTAAACAAATATTTTGTCTAAGCTTTTTGACACACCAGCCTCAACTATTCGTTACTTTATTTATCTTTCTTCTTGGGACCGGAGTCAGAGACCCACATACGTTAATGGTGGAACGCCGCCATGCATGTGATGTGAGCACTGAGCATCAAGAATACTAAGTTGAGAATGATTTAATCCAGAATTTTTTGTCAACTATAATCTAGGTCTTGCATTGTAATATATTAGGATTTACTTCCTTCAATTTAGCACACATTTATATAATCGATTTGTACTGAATAATGCTGAAAATTAATACTGCACATTTATTTGAACTGATGCTTGCCATGAGGAGAAAAGCATCCGTTAACAGAAATTCTCCCGGTCAAATAATGAATCTTTCCGCTTCACGGTATGTTACATGTCAAAACAATGAAGAAACTTCTAACCATTTGTTCCTCCATTGCCGCCCAGTGGCGGCTTTTTTGTAGGCTAAATCATGCATTGAAGTAAAAATTAAGTAGGTAACTCCCAGAGTTGCCCTTGTTTACTTATGGAGACTATTGTGACTGGCAAAGACTTTTTTGAAATGTGCAGTTCTTACTCTTTTGTACGTCTAACATTATTGTTGGCGTTCGGCATGATACCTCCTTTTTTTTATTTATTTATTAAAACCGGATAGGAGTTTTCTGTTTTTTGTGGTTTTATGGGCTGATGTAATCTCTCTTTTTAGTGTTCATATTGCATAGTTTACCCAAGACTTGTTAAGTTTTTGAGATTTTTGTAAAGATTTAATTCTTCTACAGTAGATTCCGAGACCACCTTTGTATATTTAAACTATATTTTAATATACTGGTGTTTCCTATAAAATAAAATAAAAATGAGAGTAAAAGTATTTTTAGTGGTTTGATAGTAACAAGGCGCGTTTGGTTCGAGGTTATATGAGATTATTAAGGTTAAGGCATCTTATATTACTTTATTATCATATTTGATTGTCAAGTAATATAAAATACCAGTAATCTTCAAATATCAATAGTGGTTGCTATTGGTAATATTGAAGGTAACCTCATTACCTCCATTTTTTAAGGTATTTTAAGATTACATGAGTTATCTTTTTTGTTACAATTTTATCCCTTATTAATAAAATTTTAAGATAATAATGCCCTTATTTTTAAATTTATTTACAAGAATATGCTTTTACTATTTCACCTCAATTAAATAACCTTTTGGACGAAATTACCTTTGAATTCAAAACAAATTTATGGCCATTTTCTGTCAAATACCTGGCCGTCAAAGGCCATCGATGTGTCGATCTCTGGCTGTGTCGATCTTTGTAAGACTGATGAAGATGAGTTTTGTATATATAATAATAATAATAATACTCATCTTTTTTTGTGTTTTTTGATCTTTTTTACATGAATATATACTATTTTTAAGTGTGAACATCCTGGAGTTTTTAAAACCAAAGTTCTGGCTTTTGGTCTTTTACCTTGTGAAAGTGGCGATCACTAGACCTTTTGCTAATATTCACTTTGATAGTAACAATCATCGTTTTAATTAAAAAATTGAATCGTTACCCCTGTGCTTAAAACTGACTATTAAATGTTTTATTAGGTTTGTTTAGTATAAAAAAGGAGAACTAGCTAGATGAAAACAAAAGGAGAGTTCAATATCTTTCTCAATAAAATTTCTTTATCTTTTTCCCTAATATATCAACCTGAGCTTTAATGGCTCTAGTATGACTATTTTTCTTAATAAAAAGCAGATTCTTATAAATTGTCCAAAACGTGTTTCATGGTTTGCAAAAAAGGCATTATTCTTATATAATTGTTTTATCAGCAACTTTATTCTTCGTCAATATCTCATTAGTTACTGTTCATGGGACCTGCTGATTTCATTACTAGAATAATTGAGACTTGACCATTGACCTCATCATCTCCTGTTGATCCTTCATGGGATACCATTTGTTTTGGGTCTTTGGAAAGTATTATATGATTTGGCCTCTTCTTGGGATTTTTTACACTACGTTTTTTGGCTTATTAAGTTGTATGAATTTCTATTTCTCACTTCTTTCTCTTTCATTTGTGTATGTAGGCTACAAGTTAAATCACATTGACATTGTATTTTTTTTTTTTTTTTATGTGATTGATGATTTAATCCACATGTCATTAATCTCAGTGGCTGAAGCAGTCACAGTGCAGTCTGGGTCAACTTTTTAAAAAAAATCAATAATCATTTTTTTTAAATGAGTAATTAATACAAAATCATTCTAAAATCAATATAATAATTTAAAAAAATTTAAAAGCTTATTACAATAAAAAATAATTTAATTTATATGTAATATA